ACTGCATGCAGCGAGACTAACTGCATGCAGCGAGGCTAACTGCATGCAGTGAGGCTAACTAAACGCAGCGAGGCTAACTGCATGCAGCGAGACTAACTGCATGCAGCGAGGCTAACTGCATGCAGGGAGGCTAACTAAACGCAGCGAGGCTAACTGCATGCAGCGAGACTAACTGCATGCAGCGAGGCTAACTGCATGCAGCGCGGCTAACTGCACGCAGCGGGGCTAAGGCTTTATCCTGCTTTCCCTGCCTCCCTTTCCAAACGTCAGGATCTAACCCAGCGTGGATAAAGACAGCTATGACTGATTTAAAGCACTTTGCAGAACATTCCAGAATATTTTTTTGTTGTTGTTGGCATTAATATAAATATATTAGTGTGATACCTTAGCATACATTTCATTGGTTTTTGGCATACGTCTATTTTGAAGTAACAGCTTGGAGAAAACTCTACCAGCCGTCACCGCTAAGGAATCTGTGCTAACATTACTAGCATCAAGCAGGAAGAAAACAAAAGGTGGGATTTCCTGAAAGTTAGCCAATCACTGATCATTATTCAAAATATACTTTTTAAGTCATAAAATCGATAGTAAGTCCGTAAGAACAGGTTAAATTATGGTATAATGTTTGCTGCACTTTAACTCAACCTCCGAACGACAAAATCAGCAGATGGAAAAATAACATTTATCTTTATCTAAGCCTTCAACTTGTATGTTAGATCCAGTTCCAACCAAGTTGTTTAAGGAAGTATTTCCTCACTGAGCCTGGTTCTGCTGGAGGTTTCTTCCTGTTCAAAGGTAGTTTTTCCTCTCCACTGTCGCTACAAGCATGCTTAGAGTGAGGGATTGCTGAAGAGTCAATGAATCGATGTGATCAACTGGTTTTCCTTCGATAGAAATGTCTGATCTGGTTGAATTAATTTAAATGAACCAAAACAAAGAAAGTGTCTCTCAATGGAGTATTGCTGTTAAAAACAGGCTTTTTTTCATTCATTGAAGTTAATCTTTATGTTATGGTTCTTCCCATTTGTTGTGACTCTGAGTTTTCAGTTTTCTGTTATCAGTTGTTTTGTTTGTTTTATTTTCCATCATATTCAAGCATTCTTTAGTTGCTCTCTGCTGCCCCCTTGTGTTTGTTTTCTTTCCCCTTGGATTCCCTCTTTCCAGTTCCACCCACACCTGCTCCTTATTCAGCTCGTTAGTCCATCCTTTGTTCTGTTCTCCTTTAATACTCCACCTCTGCAGTCACTCAGTGCTGGTTCCTTGTCATTGCTGTACTTGTCTACTCAGCTCGTTTCCCCCCGATGTCTCCATGGTTTTAGGTTTGTTTAACATTTTAGTTGTATTTCTGGATTTGTACCTCTGTTTCCTGAGTTATTCAATTAAATCTGTCAGAACTCATCTCTGCATCTGGGTCCTCAAGCAACCTCACCACCCATTGCTGACGCTCTAAAGATGGAGGCTAAACATTTAGGGTAACAGCACTTTATCATATTAATACTCAGGTAAAAGTAAAAAGTACGCTGCTGTAAAACTACTCCTAGAAGTAAATTGTTTTTAAAAGGTTACCATGGTAAC